TGAATCATGTGATCATCTAAACATTTGCTGCTTAATTTGAAAGTAAGCATATAGATGATTTTCTTGTTTAATATTAGCATAATACCCTGTGTTTCTGTAGTTTGTATTCACTGATCTGTACAATGTGATTTGCTGACATGCAAGTTTGTGTCTTAAGGCTGAATTTTTTTATTATGAGAACCATTTTCAACACAACGCTGCACCTCCTTCTCTGTGAGTCTTGGTTCGTTCCTTTAAAATCAAAGCGCTGCGTTGCTGTGGCTCTGAGGATTGAACAGACTCCAGCGGAGCAGCCTTGGCTGAGGAAGGAGTGCTCATTTCTCCTCTCCTGCTGGTGGGAAAAGCACTGCTGGGTACTTTCCCCCAAAACTCAGCTCATGAAATAAACAAAGACACACCAAAGCTGATTATGGTTTTCTAAAGGGCTTTTCTTAGAGGGGTGGTTGTAATCCATCCTAATGTTCACTAAACAAATTGAATAATAATTTTTGGCATGGGGATATGGAATAAAGAAGGGGAGGTTTCAGAGTCACAGAGAGATGGAGGCATGCAGATCCTGGAAAAAGATTACACCCAATAACAGATTTCACCAAATGTCTTAAAAAAAACTCACACAGAGTCTATGAATATTCCTGTTTTATATCCATGTTTTTTTTCCTCTAACCTTCCTCAAAGCCATCCCTGAAGGAGCCTGATCGGCTCATGGTGCGAGTCTTCTCATCAAGTGACATGCAGGAGTTTCTCAGTCGGTTGTCACTGCAAGGGTCAAAGGAGATGTCCTGATTGGTCAGGCTGTTGTTGCGCAGACCAGCGAGGTTGATCTGACCTGCTGAGGTTGGGCTGGATGCTGCAAAAGTGATATGGGAAATGATATGAGCTGCAAGAAGGTATTGTTTTTATTAAATGTGAAGTCTATAAAATGTCAGAAAATGTGAAAACCCAAGCATCTAAATTTTTGCAACCACAAGTCTATCTACTCTGACTATTCATCCTCTCTGTCATAATATGACTAGAGGTTTGTGCTGATAAGAATTTCTTAGCAAGTTTTTTTTTTTTTTTTTTTTTTTTTTTTAGAAAAAAAAAACTTCACATTTAGCTTGATGACAGTGTATCTGATGGAAAGGCTGGTTTTTATAATAACTATGAAGCTGTTTCTGAAAGAGCCATAAAGAGCAAATGAAGCCCAAGTACAAAACCATGGAGTGCTGGGCTCTGGTGGTGTGTGGGACATGGGACGTACCAAGCTGTCCAAAGTTGAAGCGAGTGCCGGAGGGGGAGGTGAGGCTGGAGCCAGGGGAGAAAGGGGAGTTGCTAGCTGAGTCCTGCAGCCCGCTGGTGGAGTGGGAGCGCAGCCAGTCACGGGCCTCCTCATGGCCTCGCAGCTGTGGGGAAGGGCCATACCTAGAGAGAGTAAAAGAAAAGTGGACATTTTAAGTAGAAGCAGAGACATAAAGTAGAATGAGTGCAACATGGATTCTGTGTGATATTCTGATTTTTCTGTCTTTTCTCAATCACTGAGGTGGATTTTTACTCTCAAGCAGCCAGATTAGTAGCTGGGATCATCAGCTGAACCAGACACTAAAAAAATTAATTACAACAGTATAAACGGAGGCTGACTCAACTGCAAGCAACAGAAACTGGGGGGAAAAAAGCAGAAGCCAAAGGATCTTTGACAACCCAAATCAATCCTACTACAGCATAGCACAGTGATAGCTCTGTACAACAAAGTGACATGCCTCTTCACAGAAGCACAACACAACACGTGCCAAATAAAAACTTCAGAAGCATTTTTAAAAGCGTGAGCACAAGCCTCGAAGGATGAATGCAGACACAGAAAAAAAAAGACAAACAGAAGACAGTTTGGTGAACCAGTGTGCAAAAGCGCAACATGTCCAGCAGCAAGTCAAGTCAGTACCTGAGTCCCTTCTTAGGTAGAGTGTTTCTACCACAGTGTGGCCCGCTGTGGGAGAGAAACACTTCAGAAGAGGAAAAACGAAAACATGTGGCTGCATCTCTAAAAGACTATATTACTGTTAACCTGTACAGATATTTTTTCAACACTACTGCATCCTAACTTATACAGTGTAAAACACTGTCTCACCAAACATTTTTCTTTTATTCAGTCCAAAAATGTCCTCCTTCATAAAAATGAAAAAAATCTGCCTCTCCCAAAATAAGAAAGGCTGAGAAATATTAAAAATATTCCATAAGATTGAGAGGTTTTTGCAGTGTAAATCAACAGTAAACATCCTGTGCTCGTGCTATTGGGTAAATCTGCACATATTAAATCTACCACAAGGTGGCAGTATGTCAGCATCCACACAAGACAACCTTATATTACAGTAACACTCTCTCACAAATTTCCTCATACAGGAGTTATAGGTGCTAAAAAAAAAAAAAAAAAAATCAAACTGCCACACAGAGTGATACAAAAAAACAACAACAACAAGCTGCCACACAGGGGTAGTCTCTAAAGTACTTCGTGATGCTCTCTGTGCAGCAGCAGGTGGTGGCTTAGCAGGAACCTCCACAGCTGTTTCACCAGAAGCCTAAGACTACATACAGGTACATTTACCTGTCTTGCTTCCGAGGTAGTGTGTTTCGGCTGAATATAGGGCTAGCGGAGGGGGAGGAAAGGGGACTGATGGAAGACAGGAAGGAAACGCACAACAGACAGAGGAAAAAGAGGGTTTTAGAGAATAAAGTAGATGAGGAAATCCACAATAGAATTCAACTTTAACATCATTCACCAATGAACTTAAGAAGACAACTGAGTGAGGAGGGTGATGTCATAGCCCCAAAGCTCTGAGTCCAAATGCTATTAGGTTTCCTCTGAGACATTCCTGTCACATTACACAGTTAACCTGTCATGATGGAATCCGCTACAGTGTCCACAATTACTGTATAATCGACTGAAGATGCCATGAGATTTTGCTTCTCTGCTCGAGCACAAACAGAACAACAGACAAAAAGTGGCACCTCACCACGATGGCTGCTTTGTGCATTGTCTCGGCTTTTTAAAATGAATTAACGTCAGATCTGGGCAGAATTTTAACATGGTCAGCAATGGTGAAAAAAATATTTAATATTTATCCTTTGCTTAAGTGAAAGATTTAAAAAAAAACTCCACTACAAGTAAACATCCTGCTTTCAAAAACTGATGTTGAACTGAAATATGACAAAAAAAATGCTATACTTATGTATGACAAGTAAAAGTACTCATTGTGCAGAGTGACTGTTTTCAAAGCATGTATACACATACATATACCATTTGATTATTGTCACTGATGCTTTAACATGTAAGCAGTAATAGGTAAATTATTTTTTCAACTTTTTTCAACCCTTGGGTTATTTACACCTGTGACAAAGAATAATATTTTATAAACTTAACATGTTTTCTATCTAAAATGTTATCCTACAAAATGACTAGACTCGACAATATTTACTGCTGAACTGCAATAAATTCGAAGTATTATGCAACACGATGTAACTTCTGAAAGAAGAAATAGAGCATTCAATATTTTATAAATGAAAACTTGCAATCATAAGCATTAAAATTTCTTGCTCAGTTCACCACATGCACAGGCTTTGCTAGCACAGTCTTACTTGGTCTGGTATGACATGTAGCATATGGTGGCTAATGTTAGCAAGCTTTAGACAGATATTGCCATGGAGCTAACATTAGTTTGCTCATTTTAGTGATTTTTTTTTTGTGCTACTGTCACACTGCATTTTAGCATTGTGTGTTACCCTACAATACTTGTTGCCACATCGGTTGTTCAATTTAGACACAAATTAACAGATTGTGTGTATATTATCTGGAAAAAACTTGCATACCATAATAATGAAGGCAAGATGCAAGCCAGAAAACCAAACGCGTTTCTTTGTTTGCTTGTTTTTAAATGCATGACCCAAACATTCCCCACTTTTGTGTGTCCTCACCTCTCAGACATGCCAGTCTTGACACTGCTGGTGCGGCCCAGTGCGGACAGAGTGTCCTCTTTGTGGGTCCCATGGCCACCGCCACCTCCAGTGCTGCCCAGGCTCATGTCGATTGACTCGCTGCTGGTGTGCATGCTGCTGACTGAGGGGTAGCCCACACTGCCCATCCCACCATGCCCCCCCAGCGTGCCCTCCCTGCTATGGGCAGAGGAGGTGCTGAACGTGGTGCCCCACGTCAGACTGTTGGAGGGGCCAGTGGAGGAGTAGGCTGAGCTGGGACTGGAGGCCTGTGGAGGGGATGAAAGGATATCGTTTTCAATATCAGTCTGTGTATTCGAGTGCAGAAACAACAAGTGAATTAAGCACTTTATACAGTTACTGGACATGATTAATTTTATGTGCGAAATTCCTATAAAACCATCATAATAGTGAGAATTTGCTGTTTTTCCTCATCTTTATGTTAAATAAATGCATATGTGTTTTGGACAGTCAGTTGAACCAAACAATGAGTGTAAAGATATTACCCTAAACTTTGGGAAACTCTAATTGTGATGTTTTACTGGTTTCTGACTTTAAAAAGATAATATGAATAATAAAAAGACATTTAATCATTGAAATGAAAACACTCATAGCCCTGATCAATTCTTTTTTCCCCCCGCAAATGTGCCTGCCTTGAAAAACAGTGAGTCACGTTATGATTCATAACAAATCTGATAAAGCCTTATGAATCATGTGAGAACATGAGGGCAAGTTCTTGACTGAGCATGCTCACACGTCTTGGTTCTGCTTCAGTATGTAACCTACAGTTAAACAAGTGTCTACACTGCCCATCTGTACTCCCAATGAACACAGTCATTAGCATTTCAAGATGATCAGGAGGTTTGTGGCATTAGTCAGGTGAGAATAAAACCATCTTTGTGTCAGCAAAGCCTATAAACAGCTTCCCACTGTACTTAGTCAACCCTAAGCTCAAATGTATGTATATGATCATATTTCATCTTAAAGCTACAATATGTAACTAAAGGTAGCACTAGCAAGATACTCCAAATCACTCTGCCCAGCGCTCCCTCTCCCTTCTCTACTATGCTTTATCACACTCCGCCACGCTCTGCCCAGCTCTTCAGATATCTGTTGTAATGAAATTACAATAAATGAGAATGCAACAAACCTTACTGATCAAGCAGAAATAATTGAAAATCTCTGATTAGTCAGAGAGGTCAATCTCACTCAAAACCTTTTAGAAGCCAATATCTCTGCACTGCTGCCAGTGCTGTTCAATGAGTCTGGGTCACAGGAGGCTTCGACAGCACCTCTCCACATTAAGATCAAGTTTTTGAGCAGATTTCTACAACAGAAATATTTGAAAGAAGTTGCATACTGTAGCTTTAAACCCAAATTTTACCTTTATTGCCTGTAACATCAGCATGCTAACATACCCAAATTTTACCTTTATTGCCTGTAAGATCAGCATGCTAACATACTCACAATGATTATGCTAACATACTGATATTGAGCAGGCATTATCTGAGTTTATTGTGTTAGTGTGCTAACATTTGCTAATTAGCATGAAACACAATGTAGAAAGGTGTGTCTGTGGACTGCAAGGCAGGTGAAATGCACAGAGGTGTAACATGATTTGTCCAGTTATGCCCCTAAACCCTCCTTCAAACTTCAACCTGCTACAGGGGGGCATTACTTCTAATAGGAGCCATATCTGGTAGGCATAACTTGTAGGGACATAACAGGGGAGGGGCATAACTGAATGCACAGTTTTATGGCCTAACACATAAACAAACAAACAAAAAAAAAACAACAAAAACAAGTAGGATTCATCCTCTAGGCACAATAAATTTCTGTACAACATTTCATCACACTCCCTAATTGTCAAGATATTTCAGTCTGGATCAAGGAAGTGGACTGAGCAACAAACTAACGTTGCCATTTCTGGATCAACACTTATCACATGGCTAAAAAGAACTTGAATGCAACTCCAAAATCAATTTGAAAAAAAAAAATACTTGGCCTCTTTTCATGGTAAATGGTGGGTGGTGGGCAGTTGGAGACTGTGTGCAGCTAAAAATAACATCATAGCTTATGAGTAAAAGGCTGGTCCCATGACAGTTCTAAAATAAAACAGGCTACTTTGGTGATTTTAAAGGAAAGGTAGAAGAGAAGATGTATGACTCTAAAAGCACAAGAATAAACATGATTTAACATTTAAAGCTTCATCATACAGTTTACACAGTAGCCTACAGTGCATAGTGAAGTTTTACCTTGGAAAATCACAGATTAATAATCTTCCAGGAGCTCACTGCTGATTTTAACATCCATGTTATTTGTTCACTAACACACAATCCACTCTCTCCATTATTTTACTCTATGTGCTCACCTGCTCGCTGCCCAGCGTCCCCATCCCCGATCCCAGCGCTCTCCCTGCAAACAGGGGGCTGCTGGTCTCGCTGTCCACACCTCCCAGCCCTCCATCAGGGGACTCTAGCACTGTAGTCACATGGTTCATGGTAGCGTGGGGGTTAGAGATAACAGTAGAGTTCTTCATGTTTTCAACTGTGGTGACCGAAGTTTGTTTATTGGGCTTGCCACCAAACAATCTGGGGAAAATCAGGGAGGAAAGGAAGGATGCAAAAGAGAGGACTTTAAAATGTCACCAATTTCTGACATTATAATGAATCATAGGATAAATTAATAAAATGAGCATAATGACAGAAGAAAAGGAATGCGAGAGCTACAGTATATGGATTTCTATGAAAAAGTGGAACATTGCCTTTTTAACGACCTTTAATGGGAATGTCTCATATAGGAGATACATCTCATTGATTACCCTCTACATCTATTTTTAGATTTAGTTTTGAAGTTGCTCAAAGCAAAGTTTCCTTTTGTAAAAGTGGAAACTTTAGCCTGATGGCAGGATAAGAAAGGCTTGGGGCAGCGGGGATGTCACCAAAATCATTACGCTTCATCCTCCCAGGAATAATACCAGCAAATTTCATGTAAATATTCGTGGCTGAATCAGGTAGAGTAAATGCTTAGATCTATTCAAGGCCAACACAGAACTCATTTCTGGTTCTCTGCTAGTCCTGAGCTCAGTGGCAGGCTGTGATGACTGTATCCGTGATGGATGATAACAGCAGCACACAGCCTCTTTGAAGCGTTATCAGTCCCTCACATTAATGAGGGCAGATCGCTGAGGTAAGACTCAGCTCCTATTACCCTGCACCCTATTACCCCTACCCCCACCGCCAAGGCTGCGGCTTGGCAGCTGAACAGCCCAGCTCATGGCCTACATTAACAATGGTCTGATTTAACCTCACTGACAGTGTATGTGTGTGAAACAAGCCCATACATGTGATCCTTACTGACTACTGCTTATCATTTACAGTGACTGAGTTATTACTGTCTTTTAAAATGGTCTTTTGTGTGCGTGCTATATGTGGGTAAAGTCAAGCCCATATAAGAGGGCCCCACTCAGTGTGGCTCATCAGTTAGCCATCACTATGTCTGCAGGATTACTGACATAACAGTGATGCTCTGTAAGAGGGTGTGTGTGCTCACCTGCGTAGTGTAGGTGAGGAAACCTGTTGTCTTCCTGTCAGAGGAACAGTTGCTGCTCCTCCACCCTGCATTACAGCTGCACTCCTCAGGTTATCAATTTCAGATACGCCCTTCTCCCGATCTGTCTGATTGGCCAGCAAGCCCCCTGAACCACTGGCCTTGGTGATGTTGATTGAATTTTTACTGTGAGATGTGACAGACAGTACAGCGGCTTCGATGCTGCTGGTAGATGAACGGTTCCCACTGCGGGTGGCAGCTCCTGAGCGGCTGGGTCTGGGCAGGCTGCGATACTGCAGCGTAGAGCGGGCGCTCATGGGGAGGAAGCTATCATCGTGGTGACCCAGTGCTGATCCTCCATCCTGCCCACCAGGCTTCAGGCCTCCTGCCAGTGAGCGTGTTCCAGATTTTGGCATCTTCCCCAGGGTGGCTGAACCACTGGTGATGGTGGCACCGCTGGCAGTAACCATGGTTACCATTCCAGGACCTTGCTTCTTGAAGCCAAAGGTGCTGGTTGGGGTGCGCGAGGCAAGTGTGTGCGTCTGGGAGTAGGGGTCTGAGACAGTGTGTGTGAGGGTGCTTGTTGTCGGTGTTCGGCTGGTGGGAATTGAATGTTTCTTTGCTTCATCGCCACTGCTGCGTCCTGCATCCGAAGGCGAGCGGTGAAGGCCGTTAGAACGAGGAGAGACGTGTCCTTTTTCTGACACCTTGACATCATCTGTCTTACCTGCAGGAGACACAGAGGGAGACATCAGCCAGGTGTGTGGGTGCACACAGTTTCATACTGAAGATCACACGATCAACTGTGACTCATCCTGACTTCTACGTTGGTTACATGTTGTTCTCTGAATTGATTGTGAAATTCTCCTGCTTACTTTTGCTGTAAAGCCTAGAGAGGTCTTGCCCCAAGGTGTATTTCTGACCTTATGCCCCCTACTGCTCCCTGAGATCCTCAGAAACCTCTCTTATCACTGTTCCAAATCCCAAACTTCGATAAAAAAAAGTGATAGAGCCTTTGAGCTTTGACTTATTAATTATGTATTTGGGGTTTTATATGTCATAAGTCAGTTTTATTGGCCAACTATGTCATGCATACAAGGAATCTGTCTTTGGCACAGAGGCTCTGTGTGCTTTGGCATCAGGCAGAATACAACAACAGACAACAGAGTAGAGCAATCAGGAGTAGAGGGGAGGGAGGGAGAAGGAGGAGGAGAGGCAGTGTTCATAAATATTATAATCATATATACAGTTTGAGCTATCATACCGGTGCATGAGGTGGGCTCTCTCTACAGTTTATTGCACTACGGACTTGCTACTGCAATCTTGTTATTCAACTGGGCTTTTATTCAACTGCTTTATTCACTCAGATCTTCTGTGCCTTATCTGTTTTTACCGTTTTTCTTGTAAAGGTTTGTGCAACTGTATTTTAAAAAGTGAAAGTAATTATCTTTTTTTTTTATTATTTGTGATGTGTATTACCTGAACTGTGGGTCTTGAGGCCAACAGAGCCCAAGGAGCTTGTGCTACTGGTGCTTTTAGTCCGGGGGGATGTCACCCCCACCTGAGTACTCATGCCTCTCCTCCAAGAACCCGTGTGGGACACGGAGGGGGTCTTCCTTCCTGAGCCACCCTTGTCAGACTCATCAGAGATATCGGAGGGGTTTCGGCGGCTCCACTTGGAGCCTGGCTCCATTCTGACCCCACTGTCTGACCCACCGTCTGGCCTCTTCACCTCATCCCCTGACCAGGCTTGGTGCACCACTGCGGAGGCCGAATGTTTCTCTGCATCCGTCACAGGCTGGAAACACACACAAACACACAGCACGTCAGATCAAAAAGGGTTTTTTATGAGACCTTGCTAAGTGCCTCTAAACATCACTCCATCTTACAGAAGGACAACAACCATCATGCTGGGTAATCCTCCCTGTATTCACACCACTGTCACCGTTACAATTTCTCAGGAAGCTATTTGACCGCATCAGGGCCTGATCAGAAAGTGTTCTCCTAATGTGAGAGGCGTTTTGCTGCTTTTGCTTTGCTCAGCATCTCATAAAGAAATTACATGATTTAAAGTTTTCAGGTGTCTGAATAGCAAATATTAAAACTATGGAAGCTTTCTCAGAAGAAAGACATTTGAATATTTTTCTTTTAATGCTGTAAAAAAAACATTGCTAACTATAAGCCTCTTAAGAGCAACAATATATATATAGACAGAGAGAGAGAGATGTACTGTATATATCATTACTGAGTTTATCCTCCTGAGTTTTGTCCTGTGTATTATCCTACCTGTCTTCAGCAAATTGCCATTATCACATCATCCATCATCTGCATTTGGGTTCTTCAAACTAAAATCTCAACAAACACTGTGAATTACAGCTGTTTGAGGAATGACAGGCATCTAGTGAGTTGATTCCGTTTATCTGCTACAAAAATGCAGCGAACTGCTCTGACCTTTATAAAACCACATTCCAGTCAATGTGTGTTATTACCAGAGGACAGATGAGGCAGACTTTATTAACCTACACTGTCAGAGTATGTCTACTGAGAGAAAGGCCCCTTTGTGTGCGCCTTTGTTTTTTCTTTGGCACCTCAACCTCAACCTCTGCAGCAATAATGGGAACACAAGTTGCTTCACCATCAATCACAATATATGTGTGTGTGAGACATACACGTGAGTCAGCTGACAAAATTATCATATCAAGGATCACCTTACTGAATGGTAGGGACTCTTAATACTCTTAATCAGTGTTTAATCATTTGAGGCCACCGTCAGAATCAGCTTTAGCTTTGTGAGCTCACAGCTATGCCACCCAGACATAATCTCACATTCTTCTCTGAATGTAGAGGAATGCTGGGACAGACATGGCACAGTCCACCATAAACCATACTGTATGCTCATGCTGCTGCTACTACTATCTTTGAACCACTGGTTGCTAGATACCATACTCACCACTGTGAGTTATATGGATAAGCCCAATGGTCACTCACTAGCATCTAAAAAGGCATCAACATACCTGTGTCTTCATCTATATAAGGCCTTGCTGTCAAAGCTGCAGAGATATTTAACATCCTTAATTATTACACCAGATCACAGGAGAGATTGGATTTAAAATTTTCTAATACCAGCTCTGGACTGGGGCAAACTGGTTTCCAGTACTATGCACCAGACTTTGGAATGATCTGCAACACAGCTTGAAGTTAGAGACACTCATTCCTCTGAAATACTCTATAACTCTACAAGCTTAAACTTCTAATAATGTCTGTGACTCAATCAATGTGGCTCTGTGTGTGCGTGATGGTTGTTTCGAGTGTCTTCTTGTAATGCTGTGCACATGTAGTCTGTTCACAAGTCTCAACTCATGCTGCCTTCAAGAGGTCATATTTTTTAAATAGAAAATTATAGAAGGTTGAAGGGTTTATGGTTGCTGCGTGTCATGTTGAGATGTCAGTGTTGTTCAAATGCATTCTTCTCCTGAACACCAGAAATAAGGCCCCTTTTGGAGGCACTAGAATATACCCTAAATAAAGTTACTGATGTTTGTGAGGCAACATGTTTAAGTGAGGAAATCTCTGGCTCTTCATGTTGGCATCTAGTAACTGACAGCAGGTAGTGATGATATGAAGCACTGATACCAGCAATATCAACCTGGGACAATAAACCACAAAAGGGATCATTAGGTTAGGCTTCTTCTGAATAAGGAAAATGACCCACTGTCATGATACAAGCAAATGAGGACCTGAACCCCTGGTACAATAATGTTTTCATGGAATTTCAAATCAAACCCGAATCTAGTATCAAGTTTACTTGGTACACCCAAATCCCCCTTTTTAAAGTTTTCGTTTATGAAAACAGCTTCTAACAATTTGAAACGGCAAAAATGATTTAAGTGCTAAAACCCAAACACTAATATTAAAAGAACTAAAACTGTTTTGTGTATTACATGTTTTAATAAATTAATACCTGAATGTTTTGCACATTACTCACATCTGAAATAGACATGGAGAAGAGATTTATGAGAGTTAAGTCATTTGCTGAGATTTATTCTACTATAAGCTCAATTAGTCCAGTTCCAATGTGAAACCAGCTCCAAAAAGGAACCTGCTATCCCAACCCCTAGCCCAGTCATAAAAAACATCTAGTATCATTCATGTGTGTGTGTGCGCAGGTTCACCTGTGTGCTGAGGCCCTTGCGCTGAGCCCCAGGCGTGTTGGCGTAGGAGGAGATGGAGGAGCTGGTGTTGATGTCATCGGTGTCGATGTTGTCGCTGATGCCGCTGCTCACAGAGCTGCTGTCATCCCAGCTGGACACACAAAAGACAGAGGACAAAGAAAGATTTAGTTCTCTTTTAACAATAACTGTTCCAAAGTGGCGATGATGGGCAGGTCGACTTGCTTCTTGTTTCATACATCTTTGAAGAGATGGGCACTAAAATTTACTAGCAGACAGTCGGTAAAGCCTAAAGACACAACAATGCTGCTGCCCTTCATCAGTCACTCCAAACTGCTTTTTAGAGCTGCAGTGAAGTTTTCGTTTTTGCAAACTAAGTGTGATATTTAAATGTCAATCATATTGGCTGTTAAGCATAGATGCATACACATCCTATATATAATATTATATATTATATTCAAGACAGCAAGTATAAAGTTGACTTTGTAGTTGTTTTCTGTTAAATGGACGCTGTTATATGAATAAAAAAGGAAAGTGTAATCCATTAACTGCAGTATTAAGTAGAAATAAAACTGCAAACAATAATTAGAGAAAGACTGATCCAGAGTCTCCGACTGCTTGATTGTTCTCTTCCTTTCTTCTCCACACACATACACATCAACAGGCTGAATGGGGTTGTCTATCATGCGAACAAAGGCCCGCCAAAGGGATGACATCATGGTGGGCTTGTGTGTCTGTGACTTGTTCAAACAGACCCATCTGAACACAGCAAACAGGCTGTGAGTTAATTCAGGAGATCTGTAAATATGTGTGTGCGTCTGTGTGTGTGTATCCTCCGGGCATCTGTGGGGGACAGGAAGCCCGGCCAGTTGGCAAACATCACTCTGAAAGGGCCAGAGGGTGGCTGATGGTGACGGGCAGCGCAGGGTCGACTGCACCAGAGGACAGACACGCACACAGAACTGGTGTTGTCAAGCTAGCGGTGCATTTTTATACTGTTCAGTAAAGACAGATGATACATTAAACCTGTTAAAGTCTCTTGTGTGGCAGCGTGAACACACCCACAGACAATAACCACTAATGACACACACTTTGTGGATGAACACTTAAGCTTTAAAGCAGCTGTACAGTCTTGCACCTTCTTGTCTTTTTATTGAGCACACCGATCATTTGCCATCACATCAACAAGGCAACAAAGATTATTTTCATTACTGATTAAGACAATGATTATTTGTTGCCACTAAGGTGATGAACTGTTTGAATATGAAATGCCCATCACCAGCTCTCCGAGCCAAAGACGATGTGTCCAGATTGTTTAGGACAGTTGTGCTACCTACAGTACAATCCAAAATGAAAGATATTCAGGTCATATAATATCAAACTGAAAGAAAAAGCAATGAATCCTCACATTTGAGACCCAGATCATGTTTGTAATTGATACATGACTTAATTAATTATCAAAATGACTAATCAGCAATTAGTTCACCAATAAACCAATTATTGACTCAATTTATTATGTCAGCTCTTTAATCACCATATTGTGTGAAAAGTTTTGCTACTAGCACGGTACCTGGTTTCTTTGATTCTGATTCCCTAAAACATTTGTTGGAGCAACATAAACTTTTTTCTACAAAATGTTTTTTTAACCAAAATATAAATGAAATAAACCATAATTCCAGAAGGAGTTCAGTTTAACAACATTTGACACTTGACAGTTTTTGATAATTGATGATACAGAACATTTCACTTGGTGCACACAAGAAGCACTGAAGCTCGATACCCAGTGATAAAGCTTTTCATTCATCCGTTAGATTTTCAGATAACACAGCAAGTCAGTGCAGAGCTTCTCACTCATCACCACCAGCACATGAACACATCATTACGTCTTAACAAACTAAACAAAAACAAAGAATGTTCACTGGCTGAAATCCCAGATTCTTATTCCCATCAAAACCTAATCAGCTGAGTGCTAAGCCGATTTCAAAACATTCACTCAACAGCTTTTTGAGCAACCTTGCTGATAGCCTGACAGAGACAGAGGGAAAACACTACTTCCTTCTGAATGCACCAGAAGAATGAATCAAACGGCAGCACTGAGGTTTAGCGATGAAAGCATCCAAGGAGCCGACAAGCCGAGGTGCCGAGACATGACCAGTGACCACAACAGTTTCAACTCATCTATACAACCACAAGGGAAAAGTCCCCCACATAACATACACTCAGAGAGAAAGAAAATAATGGGGACAGCCATGAAGGAACAGACATATACAAACCCACTTCTGAACATGCAAAGACATCATCACTCAGAGGACAAAGTTTCCTTCACACACTGGTGCATAGACACACACACACACACACACACACACGCATCTACCTGGTCAGGGTGCCTGTGCTGCCGTGGGAACTGGAGCGCTGAGGGAATATGCCAAGCTGCACAGAGAGCTTCATGACTCCATGCCACTGAGAGAGTTCACACAGCCAAAGGTCTGTCTCACTCTCTGCTTCTCTTTCTCATTGTCTCTCACCCTCTCCCTCTCTTGCCTGGCAGTGTTTCTAAGCTGAGCTCCTTTGTCACACATTGCACTGATGCTTCATCCCCTGGGCACTCTCTCTCTCTCTCTCTCTCTCTCTCTCTGCTTTAGACTAAGTGAGATAGAAACTATGGGGGGTGGGGGGACATGCACTGCTGCTGGTAACATGAGCGTCCCCGGAGATTGTTAACCACTTCACTGCTGCAGCTACATACAGTAGCACACTGAAACACAGGCATACACATACCCCAAGCCCTAAATAAGCCTAACAAGCATCAAACAGCAACACAAGTCAAAGCCATATGATCACAGACAAAGTGAAGGACAATCCTCACCCCACTGCTGCTTTACTGTGTGTTTCCCAGCTATGGTTTACATCTATGGTTGTCTCTGTATGCAAGACTGCAATTTCCCAGACAGATCCACCCTGACCAGCTGACAAGCCAGTGCTAATTAGAGATCAGGCCAAGCAGCAAAGCCCAGCCCACAGCCTCCTGCTGGCAAAGCAACCCACCAGTTAACAACCACTGAGCCCTTTACGGCCAATCACAGGACATGGAGAGATTAACCACAGGCTGGGAAAGTGTGCCCCAACTTCTGACTGGTAGAGTACCTTTAACAGTATGTAGTCATGTTCAAAGTTTTGGAATTTAGCAATTTTTGCTTCTACCACAATACACTGACAGTAAGTGGGATTTTGGTTGCAGTACTTAAAACAATGAAAAATTCATTTGGTGAACTGATCCTTTAAATGAAGTGGAGTGTGCAGTTAAAACTTCACCAGGATGACATAAGACTTCACTCTCTCACTCATTAAAGGGGCTAAAAGAACTGCGAACCGATCAGAGAGGAAGAAAGTGGAGGAGGAAAAGTGACCCAGATCAAGACATTCCAGGGAGAAACCTCGACTCTCACCAGGTCTTTTTAGAAATCTTTCTGGTCTCCCAAGGAGGTAAGAGTTCAGAGGTCAAACCTCCAAACTTTCCTTAAAGAGACAAAGAGAATGGGGGAAGTAATGAGACCAATGACAAAAGGCTTTCCTTGTGGGACAGCCAATAGGAGTGCCTTGGTAGTATCCTGAGAAAAAGGCCCTAGTTGTGTTTGTTTAACTTTTTTGTGTGTGTCCCTCAGGACTGCGGTTGGGTTGGTCTGTCAGCTGGCCTTCCAGCACTGTAACCCCCCCCCCTTCAGAAAAACCCATCTGACCCTGGCCCATGCACACAGGATGTGTGCTGCAGAAATACACACACAGACATGACAACAGAGCTGTGAAGCATAAGTAAGGGGATTTCCTGTGTTTGAGGGGCGATTGCTGCATCTGGATCATATAACCCCAAATCGCTATCTTTGTCCACACAGACAGACAGACAGACAGTGGGAGGAAGAGGGGAGGACTTACAATACAGCCGTTAAGGTTGGGAGGGGACACAGGTGACATCATGGACACCTGACAGGTACACAGACTGTACGGAGGAGTCCGTGAAGCGCATTCAGCTGAAACATAGCAGCGCCATCAGATACATGTCACGAAATATGGTTTGCATAATGACACAGCATGAAAAACAAGTATTTGGCTTGGATACAACATGATTATCAGTTTTTAGCTCTGCCTTGTTGATTGGGCTTGATACATTTTGATTTTTTTTTTTTTTATAAAAGCACCAATACAATAACTGATTTTCAATAACAATATTAAATGACACGTTTTTGGTACCTCACTTTGAGGAACAACAATAAGTTTCTTTGTAAATTTTTTTTATTTTTCATTTAACAAAAGAAGCCAAATGCTGTGTAAACATTAGCAGCAGCAAACAGTTGGGAATCTGGCAGTTGGTACATGACAGTTTTGGGAACACATCCAGTCCAAGTGATGATATGATCATAGCAGCTCATACTGTACAAAATACCCATTAGACACACAATACAGATTTTTTATACAATATGCAATCATCTAAATAACAGTGAGAGAGAACAGACAAGTGCAGAATTCATATGCAAATTAGACTACTAGTAGGAATGATTGGCACAGCCATTTTAACACAACAGAAAAACACAACAGGAGATATTTCTACAGGATGTGGAATGTTGTTCTGCCAGTTTCACCGTGTCACAGAGAAGGGCTTTCTTACATCAGTGCTCTGCTCTCTGCCTTAGGGTTCAGAAAGGTTCCAGAGACGGCTTTATCACTTTTCAATTATTAGAGCCAAAAAAAAAACCAAACACTTAAACCCGACTACCTTTGAAGGTCATCTTAATCAAAAGACTGTTTCTTATATTTTATGAAAAGTAACACTAGGAGGGTGAAGGAGGCAACAAAGTGGGACGGGACCTGGCACATTCCAGGCCAGAGCCCAGGAGCCGCATGGTACGAAAATGACACAGCTGTCCCTGCAGTGACAAGACTAGACTGGACAACACACTCAGGAATGTCTCCCTCTCTCTCTCTCTCTCCTGTGTCTGGTCCCATTGTCTCCTGTCTTGAGAAAACATCTACGATCTGCACTCAAAGAATTTATCAAAGCGTTTAGATCCCTCTGAATGCCTCTCTTTCACACAGGATTTCCTTTGACTTGTCTCTTTCTCTCTCTCTCTGTTTGATATGTAAACACACACTCCCTTAGTTTCGACCGGCTGACCAGGATCCACAGTAAACTCTTCATTTGTGATGACACTGAAGGCAGGCGCACAGCTTCACTGCGATGCATCCACTCAACAAAAAGCTATGTTTAAGACCACTGGGACAAACGTGGAATTTCTCACATGTATGCAGACACATTACTTACTTCAACACACACCACATACAAGCCAACCTATTGTCACCTCTGTGTTAGAATGAAACACAAGGCTGAAACTCCTGCCTCTACACTTGTGGTCTAAAATGGGTCAAATAAATAAAGACTTACCAGTTTGTTGTGGTACAGCTACAGCATAAAGGCACATTTTGCCTAGAATCTGTACTTTTTTAGGCTCATCTGGTTTGAAACCTTTAAAAGCGTCTCCAGATGACGGATGATAGTTTCAGGAGGTTCTTTTAACATCAAACCACATTTTCTCCACTTTACTCTTTGGTCTCTCTCTCTCTGTTTTTAACCACAGATCAGTTGTTTTTCCATCTGAATGTAATTTTTAATCACAGTGACAAAACATACATTAAATAAAGGTTTATTATTGTTAATATAAAAGAGCTGGTATTTAAATTAAGAAAGCTCTTGACTATTATTAGAATGCAGTGAAGTGTCATTCTAGGTAAATATATCAACACTAAGTTTTAAACACTTCATTCAGTGTAATCGGGAGCTGGGAAGTGCTGATACAAGTACTTACTGTATGTGATACTATAAGTCAGTATGGAATAAGAGAAATGTTTCAACCTTAAAACTAATTATCAGGCAATAAAATAAGAAAAATTCAATTGACATTGATATTGAACAGAAATTGAATAGACATTTTCCTATATAAATGGGACCATTAGGGACAAAATCTTAGCAGTATGTGGGTCTGTTGCCTGTTACATTTCAAGAGTCCATGACATGAAACCTCTGATGTGCAGACCTCTGTCCCCAGGCTTCGCCTACAGCTCACATAGTAAAATGTGCATAATCAAACCGTGGATAATCAATTTTATCCAGTTTTCATCACGGTCAACACGCCCATCCCACCACCCACAAAACCAAAACCATATGTAGACTTACAGAAAATACCAGTTATGGGAGTAATGGAGGATTAAACTTACCCAGTGCTCAACAAACCAGTCACTACAGATGAATTAAAGTCCAATAGGCTCTGCTCCTTTGCTCTACTTTCTCCATCTACTGGTAGCCTGGCTGAGACTACAGACCAGAGACAAGGGCCTCTGACCTCTGCATTTGCCTGCAGAAATTGCTGGTTCGGTGGCTATTCCAGCTGCCACCAAGACGTCCCGGTTTTGAATGCAACCCACAACCTTTGTCGCATAACTAGCTACTCTCTCTCTTTGGGCCAGTACTACTGCATTTCACTGCTATATGAAGCAAAAATTTGCAAGCAGCCAGTAAGCTCAAGAGAAAAGAACAGTGGATGCTAGAGCTACAGTGTTTAATATAGAAATAAGAATTTGTGGCAGAAAAACCCTTATTTACCTGAGTAAGAGCCCCACCCTCTTCAGTGTGTGTTTGCTAAGGTGTGCTTGTTAGAAGCCCAGAATGGGTGAAGAGGGTCTGCTGATATTGTATCTATGGCAACAAAAACCTCATTACTCTCGGGATCCTGTCTGTTTCTCTCTTCTCATAATAAACTTCTTAATTCTTCCCCATCAATTCTTTCTCCTTTCCTATTCATATAAATCAAGACTGTCAACAAACAGATTTTACACTCAAATATTACTGTTTTTAAAAGCTGGTGAGACCCTACCTTAAGCCAGAATGCTCAATAAATCAATAAAATGCCTGCTCACAGAAAATTCTTGTTGATTGGAAACAGGGGAAATCGTAATTTTCTTCCCTAAGACTTTTGTAGTTTAGGTGGATTAGTGTTCTGCAGCATCTGGGGTCTGTGGGTGTATGGAAGCATCGTCACCTTGGGATATTTGACCTTATAGTTGATATCCAATAGCTACAGACTCTGAGTCAGGCTGCTCCAGTGCACCCCAGGAGACCTCATCACACACGGCAGCAGAGCAGCATGAACTGGAAAGCATTTGTTGTATTTAGCATTCAAGGGGAGCCAAAGGCTGTGTGAGAGTTTAGATATCTATGAAAAAGCATTTGGCTTTATAAAATGTGTTGCGAGTATAAGTGAGTGTGCATACAGAAGATAAGGAGAAAGCTGACAATCGATAGGAGTGGCTGTTAAGTATGTCAGGTCAAATGTTTAGCACATTTTCCTCTGGGCCATTGTGTAGTGTTGGGAACATATATTTACAAAAATCTATTTTTTTCTTCTCTGACTTGAGGTCAATGATCTGCTCAGCTGTCTCAGCTTATATACAACTAAACTGCAACAGCTAATGAGTTCTTGTGGTACAGTAAACATAATCACCGGCTACATAATTTTAAGAGGCAACATTTTTAAATGAATAAAGCACTACTTTTATTAACAACAGGTGGTTAGGGTAATGTAAGTTGCTGTGTCTGACGTCACTGTCAACATTTTCTGCATGAAACCAGACCATGAGCTTTCTCTAACCCATATCCAAGTGCTGTGAGTGCCTAAACATAACCATACAAAAGTAGAAATTGTTATCATGGTACATTACCAACAAGGTTGCACACATTCAGCAAAGAAGGCAAGTAAATGGACATTTACTGGCCTTTCAACCAAAAAGTGAAACAAGCGTGTTGTTTTGTTTTTCTCAAGGTTTATGCAGTTCCATTCTATGTCTGCAGTTTGGTCCAGTAAACATTTTCAGTTTTTTTTATTTTTGTAATGTGGTGTCTGACACTAAGATAGCAATTTTATGAGGTCGGAGAGCAGCATTTGCTGTATTTAATCAACAAATGCACGACAATGTTTTGATGTAATGTCACACTGATGCACACACAATGCTACACTGAGATGTTAGGCTGTACGGGAAATACTCCAGATATTTTTGTAAAATATTTGGAATTATACCAAATAGAATCAAAAGAGGAAAGAATGAGAAGCATTTCGGTCATTTTGATGAAAGTATGTCCCCAAGAAAGGAGGAATTTGGTTCTAAACACACACACACAGCAGACTGGGACACAGATACTACAGGGTTAATGTTGAAGTAGACCTGATACAGCACCTGTGATCAGAAAAACAAATCGATGTTGTCTCCAAGCAGGCCATGACTGACCTGATAGGTCTGGGGAGTACAAGTACAGATGAAGCTGTGTTCCTGTGTGTTTATTATTATCATACAAATAGACTCCTGGCTCCACAGGGAACAGGATCACTGGCTCATGAAATGATAGCAACAGAGGGAGGGGAGGAGACTGATCCACTGATTATTATTGCAGTGAGAGCCCACGGGCAAACCACAACATTCAATCTGCTAAACCAGGGGAGCAGGTGGGGGGTGGGGGTTACAGGGAACAGACAGACAGGTAGAGGGCGAGACAGCGAGACAGGTGGAATGACAGCTGTTGTTAGTTGCTGAGAAGAGATAATGAAGGAGGGCAAACCTCTCTCTTTCTCCCCGAGGCCAACAGGGAACCTGCTCAAGTCCAGACAGGACAGATAACATACTGGGGCTTGGAGCATGTGTGTGTTAAGAGAAGAAGATGCTTCTAATACATACGCACACATGCAATCCTTCAGCCATGCTGGATTTCATACAGTGAACCATCAACAAAGATCAACATTCATCATACTTCCATACCACATAATGGGGGCAGACAAAATTATTTAATAATGTCTCATAATAATGTAAACATTTAATCAAATATAAACTTTAACACTGAAGTAACTTCAAAGTAAAATTGCAACTAGATCTGACATTAGTTACACAAGTTGAAAATGGAAGAAACCCATGTTTGTATTTATTTTAGTTTGTAGCCAGCTGTACTGTTGTATTACAGGCTGTGCAGACAGAAAACAACACTACATTATTAATCAAGGCTGCATAAGATGGGGACATTTGTTTCAGGTACCAGTAAGAAGATGAAATACAATCCACAAAGCCTGGTTGAGGTAACTGACTGTTTTTCTGATGCCTGCACTGCACAATGGCTTATAAAAAAAGAGAAGGGATTTTTATAACTCTCAAATGTTATCACAGTAGAATGTGGGCTTGCATGCATTTGGTTGGCCAGTGCAGTGTAGTTCAAGATGATGTCACATTGCATTGTGGGTAAAAGTTAAACCAGGCTCAGCCTTCATTCTGCTAGAACGTCATGAAAATAATTTACAAGGCTGGGTCTCTATTGGCAGTGTTAATGTCAGCCAACAGGTGGACTTAAAGTTTATTTGGCGAGTACCTCAGAAACACTAAGGCCTTTACAAAAGATATTAAATCTATAGTTAACAGATAATGAGGACAATGAAAGGTATTAGATGGCTGGCTGCTGACAAAGGCACCTGATGATGGGAGGCATATCTGTCAGTGGAAGCAGCTGTTTATACTGTGAGAAGCAGCACATGATGCCAACAGAACAGCAGTTGTATACAGAAGGTTAACAGAAAACACCTGTAATCTTCCCTGTTGGTTATTCCAGCATGAGAGAACTAGTGATGTCTGTAAATGCAGTGTGCCTCTCTTTGGTATACTCTGTGTTGTCATGCACAGTATGTCTCATGACATTAAGTGATTCTGCTCATAACAGTGTGTGTACCATATGAGTTTAGGTAGTTTTGAGTTGATCTAACTTCTTGAGTTGCTGTGGTCTTTTTTTTTTTTTACATTAACTCAGAGCAAACAAATAATATTGACTCTTTTCATTTTTACATGTTACCAAACAAAATGACATCTGTTTTCTGCACAATATTATCTTGGTGATGATCAGCACTTGGTCAGGTTTCTCGAATGTGTTCTTCATGATGCATACATAGCCTGTTTGTGTACAGACACAAGCAAGACAAATGTAGAGAAGAGGGATAGACCAATCAAAAAACATTAGTAGGATCCTGTAACCACCCTGCCACCTCATTATACTGATTTATACCCTTTTTATGTGAAAGCATCAGTCATGAGCCTCAAATCGAGTGGTCTGTGTAGCGGTTTCCTCTCTCTTGTTTGTGTCAAGTTCCCATTTGGAAAAGAGAAATGATATCTCCAGTGTCTCAGCGAGAAGGGGGGGCGGGGTCTCTCTACAGCTACAGCAGCCTCACACCACAAAGACCATTCCTTTGTCTACTTTACAAAGAGAATTCAAATCAGAAGACAGACTGTTATAAATTGCTTCCTCTTTCTCCGACCACAGAGATAAATGACTGGGATAAGTGTGCTCACAGACACACACTCACACACATATCCATACAGTGCTTCTAGTCTCTATTGTTTATTGCCTATTTACCCAGCTTCGCAGGTTCTGTTGTCGCGTGACTCAGTTTGTTCCTCTCTGGAATCCACGTGCTGCTTTACAAACATCCAACAGTTGGTAAAACTAGTTTTTGCACTTCCAACAGCCACCACTTCAGCTAATGATAGGACATGTAGTCTGGGTGGTTTTCAATCATCTCAATCTGTTCTCTATTATCTGAAACTGTTCAACACTATTTTTTCTAGCTGCATCCTTTATGCTCCAAGTTAGTCCAGGTTTGGTTTGATCTGAAGGGTTTTAGCATGAAAGCTTAATGGTTTTTGGACCTCAACTCTTTCAAGCTTGTGACCTCCTCATCAAGGGGTCATTAGGTTTTTTGCCCAAATGCCATGGTGACACCTAACACCTTTCCCT